TATGCTGCTTCGGCATCCTGGAGCCTAGCTCGAACGACGCCTACCTTTCCACCAAGGTATGTTTGAACCTCAAACTCACGCAGTAAGATCAGAGTCAGAACTCCGGGTCGACCGTCTTCAGGCAAGTATTTGGCCACATTCGACAGTCGACTTATCTCGTCCGCAAGCTGCATAAGAGATTCCAAATCAGCGGTTCGAGATACGACGGCCTGCGTCCGGCCAACGGTGACACGGAGAACAGATCCCTGATTACGCTGGCGGAATAGCGTGTCCAGCATGATATCGTCATCTTCATCATATTTATCTTTCGAAGGCGTGATCAACGCGAGAAGCCGATCCAAGTCACGCTCTTTTGGAGCGAATAGGAACTCAAATCTGATATCATTCAAACTCACAGAAGCGGGCGCCTCGCGGTTAAATTCGAGAGGCCATGGCCCGCTAAGTTTCGCCTTGTCAATCTGGATTCCCAATCCCTCGGATCTACTGACAAGCTTTACTGCCGTTGTTCTGAGCTTGATGTAGTGACTTTCCCCGATGATGTTCAGCGCAATGCCACCAATTCGAGCATTCACCTTGACTGGTACTGTTCCAGGTGACTGTGCAGTCGCCGGGGGAGGGCCGCTTTCAAAGTGCACTCCGCGAGGACGCTTCGGTGTGTCCTTGCTCGGTCCCTTGCTCGAAGAACTAGATGAAATGGAGCTTCCAAGTTCCAAAATGGTGCTCAGACCACCTACCCACCCTATGGCCTCTTCCAGGCGCTGGATGTTGAGATTAAGTTGTAAGGGAAGCGTCAAGAGCTCAACCGTTGTCGCTTTCGAAGTCATCCGAACCTTCAATGAGATGTCACCTTGGCTTGATGAAGTGACATCCCTAGTGGATTCGCGCATTTTGAGTTCTTCGCTGAAAGAAATCAGTTCCTCATGTGCGAATCCCACCATGAACTTGGCCACATCCAGGTGTAGCGTAGTAGTATCACTGTTCACAGCGAAATTAGCATTGAAGCCCGAGACCACCGCTTGGAGCAGAATCTCTTCCTGATTCTGGGCAATGAACGCCGAGTCATTGTCAGGAGGATATGCGTGCCCTGGGACGTGGTCGACGAATTTGATCGCGAAGCTATCAAGGGAGACTCGAAAGACCTGCGCTACCTGTGATTCCTGTGGCGGACGATGCTCTCGTGTCGTGTCACCAGCCGGACCAGCGAAGGTACTAAGGATTCTTTGTCCGACCTTGACAACAAGCCAACCGATTGCGATGTCAAATTGAATTTCTGCAGACAATACCTCCAAACCAATGTGATCTCCCAATTTATGTTCATGCTGATTCACATCTTTGGCATCATTAAGAGGAGGAACAGCCGTGTTCGAATCACCACGAGATCGCATCAACGAGTTTAATAAGCTGTCCTCGGCTAGAGAGTCCTGCAGGTTAACTGCCGATTCTTTCAAGTTGCCATTCATGGCATGTCGATGTGGTCTTGTGGATTCGGCCTCATTATCCCCCTGGTTAGAATCGATAGATGGAATCGAAATCTGGATCCTATCAATACTGAAAAACTTCCTCGCGACGTCAGCTGACTTATGTTCTTCAGTTGAGACCCGAACCGACGGTCTCTCTTTAGGATCAAACTGAGAGTCATTGTCTGGTTGCTGCTGCTCAGTTGACTGTGATTGAGATAGATCTGGCTCAGACTGAGGTGTGAGTTTCGGTGTTGATACAGAAGTCCCGTCATGGTCGTCGTGCTCATGTCCACCCTCTGAGCTACCCGAAATTGCGTTCTTTGCAACGGACTCCCTCATGACCTGAGATTCAGAGGAATCCCAAGCACCGGGCATGTTCGGCATGAAGCTTCGCGATGTAGAACCATGACTAATGGCACTCATGTACATGCTTTGTGCCTCGTCGTGAGAGAAGAGCCGAGATTCACTGAGATCGCCTTGATGGAAAGACCCAGATGTTGAGCTCGAACTGTCGGTCTCCGAAGGTGGCGCGGATGTAGGTAGTGAGGGCTGAAGATGTGGGAATGACTCAGGAGTTTGATCATGTTCCGTGATGAGGGCAGGTAGAGTGGATCGCGTTTGGGGCGCGCTAGGATCTGGAGAACGCGCAAGCTCATGTACTCCTGGCATTTGTGGCCTCGGTGCAAGAATCATGGCACTTGGTGTGTCGTGAGCTGGTTCTGTTGTCCCAGGTGCGGGTAACTGTAGCGGCCGCGGAACAAGCCCACTGCTTGCAGCCAAATGACTAGTTCCTATTGGCAGGTTTTCCAGTGCATCTAATTCGTCGTCTTGAATCTGAGAGTTGATAACAGAATCAAGGTAGGCAGGGTTGTCCAGCAGCTTGTCATCATCAGCGAAGTCTTGCGATTCCTCCAAGTAACCATAACTCCGGGTCTCTCCCTCTTCCGTGTCGGCATCTGAAAACCTCCCATCATAGGTGTACACGGATCCTTCCAATTCGGGCGCACTTCGGTCAAACCGTTGAGAATCCACAAGCCCAGTCGATGGCTCAAGTATAGTTGATCTGGTCATTTCGAGAGTGGAGCTCCCCGAGGAGGGTCCAGGGGCAGGGGAAGAGACTCGGCTCGGAGGCTGACTTGTCATCGCCTGGACAAGGGTCGAGGGGGAGGCAGGAGCGGCGAATCGTGCGTAGTTGGCGAAGACAACTGGCTCCGATATCAACGCAACACTAATGTCAGAGAGCGAGATCAATCGTCTTCCTTTATGCGATCGATCTCCATCTGTGACAGGAGGCGCGGAGACGGCGTCTACCTCCACTTGACCAACTCTCAGCAATGCAGTAATCAGATCGGGCCTATCCTCTGGCTGCCTCTTAATAGACCCATCTTGCTTCATCTCCACATCGACTCGCACGGATATGTCATCCACCTGAACCTGCAGGCGATCTACAACACCTTTGAGAAATGCGGCAACAAAGCTGGGCAAGGACACAGTCTCGTTGCCGAGACCCAGTTCCTCTTCATCATCGCTGATCGACACCGATGTGCGATGCAGAACCTGGGACCTAGAGGAGATGGCCGCTTGTAATTCATCCTTTTCCTCCTTGGGTTCAGCTTCGAGGAACGACTGTGCGAGATCGGCAGGGTTGGGAATGAATGCGTCCGGGCTAGAGGTGTGGGGTGAGTCAGGGGCCCTGTCCCCTTGCCCAGAAGGACATGCTTCCTGCGAGAGTAGTCTCAGATGTACATTGATGCCGCTGGCTTGACATATTATACCGCTACTGTAGATGTCCGCGGGGACGGTGATCTTCAGGTATCGGACACGGGCGCTTAGGAGCTTGCTTGAGGCAGGAAGATGTAGTAGGGCAGCTAGTTTCTAAACGAAGTTGGGAAAAAGAAAAGGTTAGTGGAAATGAGCGATGAAGAATGTCAAATGTCGGATTTGAGAATTTGAGACACAGGCGGATCGGAGCAGTTGGACGGCCGTTTGAAAGACCGTTACACTTACATCGAGCCTCAAGCCGATATCCCGCAGTTCGACGGTACTGCGTTGTCCCCATCGAATCCCTAGACTATCCAAGTCCAGAGCCTCAGTATCGACTAGCTCCAGTCGAGATAAAGCATAACGGAGCAATCGCTTCTGGAAAAAGGAAGGCAAGAAGTAGGCCATTTTCGGGCGGAGGGAGCCGGCGGGGGGCTCATTTGAGGATCACAACAGTCATCTGAGCAAAAACAGAACAAGGCAATAGGAAGGGGGAAGGGAAAGGGGGATGGGTGAAAGATGCCTGGGGCTCAAGAAGAAGCAAGCAGCCGTAAGGCAGCAGGAAGCAGGCAGCAGGGAGCAGGGAGCAGAAAGTAAGAAGCAAAAGGACCACAACAGCAGTAGCAGCGGCACGAGCACGTAAGTTCGGGAAATGATGCGGATTGCTTCGAGGCCGGGAGAATGACGTTCGGGGGGAAATGGGGCGGAAGAGACGCTAAGTCCCGTTGGTAGGTGGAGTGACTGGAGCCAGTCACTTGAGTTGGAGTACGGAGTAGAGGAGAAGGAAAGATAAGGATGGATTGTGGATGATCGACCGCAATCGATAGTCAGGCGGAGAAGCTTGGGCTAGCCAACAAACTAACCCAAACCACATACATCATGACAACTCACACCTACGTTGGTTTATTTTCTTGTTGTTCTTGAAGATGATGATACATTTAAATGTATGAGGTTTTAAAGTCCAGAGGGGAAATTTATGACTACCACAGCCACTGAACTGCGGCAATAGTGAATCTCAAGGCATGACAAAACCCACAATTCAGTCGGTCGTTGCCTGAGGTTGGAATTCCCAACTGGTCATCAGAAGCTTTAATGATTATTATCGAGTCCAGCTAGGAGGTTGACCGCAGAACACAACTTCGAAACTCAGGCACCGGCCAACACAGGCCTCGAGGCTCTAAATTTGTCAGGAAAGTGATGGTCCATGTTTAAAGGATGTACTCCGTACTGTCATAGAGAGTGTAGATAGTGGATCCCTGCATATCGCCACGGCAAGGGGCCAGCATATAGATCATCATCATCATCATCATCATCAACAACAACTGTTTGGTCTATGTCTACACAGCAAAACCACAGCCCTGTTCTGCCGCAACTCCTCCTGCTGAAAAGACACTAAAATATCTAATTGTAGTTTCAATTTATCGGGCTATAGACCAACCGAGGATGAATCTAACGGTCCAAGTAATCCTAGGGACCGTTTCCGCTGTACGTGCATATTTAGCAATTACACGCGAATGTCACGTCCAATGGAGGAAGACCCTGACTCTCTTGAATAAATCCTGCAACTGATACGCCCAATCGCTGACATACTACTGAATCAAAAGGTCTTCCCGCGGCTTCCAAATCTTCTAATCTAGTCGCCCCTCTAACTATTGTGTCAGTTTCATAGCAAACAGGCACGTATTATTTACATCTCCAGCTCGCGCGTCGACCTTAAAGATCCAAATACCACTTCTTAAGAACATTGGAAGAAACTGGAATCTGTAGAACCTCGCTGTAGTCGCTACTGGGCATGTAGTCAACCTTAATCCCATACTTATTACGGAATGTGAGGTGGGCTAGATTATTAAAGGATGTAGTCTCTAATGGTCCTGTAGTAGAGTCTTTTTTGTCGTAACTACTATCCAGATAGACAGCAGAGGCGCTTGTTTTGAAGGTTGCATTAATCAGACCCTCCTTAGGAAGTGCCAGCTCCTTCTTCTTGGATTCAGGTAGACAACCGCGTAGGGAGGCGAAGAAGACACGGTCACTATCATCCGGCTATCAATATGATGTTTCAGCTGTGGTAGAAGATCTTAGAGGGCGGAATGGGAAAGTGAAGCTCCCAGCTGAGCTGAGCACTAGCAATCTTACAAAAAAGCCCGGTCCTGGCGCGCCTCCTATGTTTGTATCAATGATCCTGGCAGGCTCGGCCCGGCGGGGTGGAGCGCTTCTACCAGGGGCATTAGATGAAATGGTTCCAGGCCCTAGATCTGTGCAGGGGCATATATCCTTTCATCAACTAGATACGCAAATTGCCATGGACACCTAAACAAGCTAGTTGCAACTTGGAATCCACCCCATTGCCCCTAACTATCATTGACTATGCTAGCCCACCAACTATCAATCCTTCTTCCAGTCTACTGTCAGCAGCACCTAGCAAGTCAACCCCACTCACACCATACTTCATGACCTCCTTCAGCCGCCTACCAGACGAGCTCCTTCTGCTCGTGGCCCAGCAGTTGGCCACTCAACCAGACATCTACCATCTAGCCCAAGTCAACGCGCGCTGCTACCGAGCACTACATAGCCATCTCTGCGCCCATAACGTCCAGCACCACGGAAGCACGGCCTTACTCTGGGCCGCACAGAAGGGAAACCTCCCAGTTATAGCCAAGCTACTAGCCGCCGGCGCCAACATCGTCACGAAGAGATCCGGGAGGACAGCGTCGGCCAGAAATGAATCTTCTTCCCTCCCGAGAATAGCAGCGCAGGGAAGCCACACCGCGGCTCTCCAGCTCATGCTCGAAGAGAACCGGCCGAACCAAGCCGCCAGCCTAGATCAACTGCGGACGCTCCTCCACCGGGCCATCCGAGCCCACGACGGCCCGCTGGTTGATCTACTGGTGGGCCAGCGTCGTGCTCTGTTCGATTCGCGCACCTACAGGGACTGGCCGTCTCCGACGACACCAGACACGTGGCCCTCAGCGCTCAACGTGGCCCTCGAGGCCGAGCATTACACCATTGTGCCCCGCCTGGTGGAGCAGGGCGCAATCCCTGGCCCGTACCGTCGCCGGCCGTGTCCGATTGAGCAGCGATCTGTGGCGATCAGCTGCACCTCGTAAAGCTTTTCCTGCAGCAGGGCTGGATGCCGCACCGGGACCATGGCATATGCTATATCGCGGACACGAATAACATTGCCATGCTCCAGGTTCTGCTGGATTATGGCCTGGATCTCCGGCTCTATGGTACAGGCGCCGTTTGCGTGGCGATTTGGGTCGGTCACTATGATATGGTGAAGATGCTGCTTGATCACGGTGCTTCTACGAGGCTGGGGTGTATCTGGGAGAGCACGGATCGCAGCCCCCAGATGGATGGGTATACCCCGGTTGGTTTTGCTGTCAAGTGGAAGCGTCTGGAGATCCTGCGCCTGTTGCTTGACAGCGGGGCTCACGCGGACTGGACAGACTTCGATATGGCAAGGGAGCAGGGTTTCGAGGAGGCGGCGGACCTGCTTTTGGAGTTCGAGAAATCTGACCCGGAACCTTTGACTACTGTTTCTGAGGAGGCCGGGGGCCTGCTATTCGGAACTCCAATCGAGTTACTGGACCCAGATCTTGTTGTACCCGATCGTGTTGAACTTCTTGTTTTGGATGTGCCGGGTGGCGTGACTGATGCTTCCCAGATCTGGGAGGGGATGTCCAGGTATGTGCTCCGACCTGTGGAGGGGCAAAGGCCTCACCCGGCGGAAGGTACTAGGTAGTGCAGGTTGATAGTCAATCTAGAATCAACCATTTCATATAATAGCATTATGTGATACAATTGAGCAAGGAATATAATCGTGGCCCAATGATACAAGATTCATCGATTATCCATCACTGCCTTCCTCCGCAAATGTGACTGTAACCCACTCGCAAAACTGCTCAAACCTCGCCCACCATTCCTGCAAACGGCGGGCCTTGACCTTCTCACCCAGGATACCTTCCCCAATCTCAGAAAGCCATTCACCCGTCGGCTGATCGTCGTAGGAGCTCCACCGAATCGAGTTCTCCACCAGCATTGCCAGTCCTGCAAGATCGGCGTGGTCATCATCACCGAGAAGCACCCTCCAGATTACCTGTGTGAACCCTTCTGCACCACGCCCGTCGAAACCAGCAGACAGATGATTGCCACACAGAGCGACCGAAACACCCCGCGACAGCAGGGCCGGAAGAACGTGCTCGCTCCGGCTGAAGGTCGGATTGTGATTGTACTCGACCAAGATCTTCTTCTCCTTGACCGACTCGGTCAGCAACGGGTGCTTGTAGAGTGTCGATCCGTCGCAGATCCTCCGCGTCCCCAGCAGAATCGCATCGTACAAATCCTGGTCGGCACGCGCCCCGTCACGCGCCGACTCGCCAGCGTGGAAGAAGAAAGGGATCTCCAGTCCTGCGTCCATGCACTCTTTGCGGAACCAGAACAGTAGAGGCACGAGGTCCGACAGCGGCCTCGCTGTCCCCGAGATATCGAACCCACAGATAACCTCCGGGTAGTCATACTTTGCGAAGAGACAGGTTTGCATGTTCTCCATGATCTCCCTGTTCGACAATGAACGACTGGTAGTCCATATGATACGCGCTCCGTAGAAGTCGCGCCCTTCGTCCGTGCTCTGGAAACGCCGTAATTCTTGGTGAAACACATGGCACCATTCGCTTTGATCTGCGTCGGGCGCGTCGGTTCCTTCTCGTCGATAGACATGAGCGAAAGTATGCCTGAATTCGGCATAGTCGACCCCGTCCGCTGCCAGATGGGCGAAGACGTCTCTCAGGCAGGAACGCAGAATGGGCTCATAACTCAGCAGCGAGTCAATGATCTGTGCACCACGGCAAGCGTCGCTCGACTGCTCGTCTCCAAGGGTGCATCGCTTCTTTAGCCATTCGCGGAACCCGATCTCTCCGCCATCCGGGAAGGAAGAGACTGCCTGCTGAACAGGGATAAGTTCCAAAGCAACATAGGCAGCCGACCATATGGAGACACTGTGCTTCACGCTTTGTGTTGAAGATGAAGCATACTGAAAGGTGACGGGGGATTTGAGTCGCGCTTCCTCAGATGATAAAGGCTGAGGGCTAGAGATGTGCAGCCCCGCTGTGGTAAGAGCGATGTCGATTAGCTTATCCACGTTGATGAGGCCATGAATGGAGGCGTTCAGCAAGGACCCCTTTGGCATTCTCTGCGCGATCTTCCAAAGATCGGTTTTTCGAACCTGCTCCCAGTCCAGAGCCGGTAGTCCACAGGAAGGCGTAGAGGCTCGAGTCAACTCCCGACCGCGGATTTGGGACACAATCTTGCAAGCTCTAGCGGCGACTGGGGTCAGAGCTTTGCGGAGGTTGAAGTCTGAAACACACTCGTTAGTCGAGATCGATTTGGCCAGTGGTCGAAGTACTTGGGGGACTAACCATGTCGCTGTTTCTGCTCTTGCAGAATAAGCGAATCCCGTCCTTTCAAGTACTGTTGGATAAAAGGGTCTTCAACCTGAGGGATCCCTTCCTCTAGTTCCCACTCCTTGTCATCGGCGGCCATTGTTGATCAAGTCGAGGACATCAAATGGGAGCTTCTCGCACATCTGCTGAGCTCTTGAGTGCCTTAACTAAGGTTGGAAAGGATTCAGGAACTAGGCCGACTATTGGAACTGTTCGCAGCCAACGGAACCCATGAGGTCATAATCTCGATTGCCCCGCTCTCATGAGCGAGTCGGAGTTTAACCGTGATTGAGCTAGTAGTACTAGTGGTCACCATTCCAATCTGTTCCAGTTGCACAAGTTTAGGTTACCTTAGTTTAGACGGCATTGGCTGAGCCTTGCCTTACAGCACCATCCATCTTCTACTACAAGTCCCCGCGGAATGTTCAATGCTCGGCACTTCAGGCCCCGGGCCCGGGGCACCTCAGGGCTGCCGCATACGGCAAGTTACCGGTTCCGGAAGCCATCCACTAGAAATAGTAACCAAGTAAGATTACCTTGATATCGACGGTATGAGACAATCGAAAGCTCAAGAGATTACCTGATATCCCAAGATAACAAACCTGAACATAGGGCACCTCTGTACGTGTAAGGGGGTGCCCCATCCAAAGCATCTAGCCAGTAAAGTAAAGCAGACAAGATTCGCCGGGCGAGAGTGAAATATATGCTCCTTCTACCATAGAGAACTGTACTAACACATGTCCTACCTTAGAGAGGATGTATTGACCACCGTAAAAGTCTCTAACGAGAGGCTCCCCAAAGAATGGTATCACCCCCTGCAATTCCCTGCAAGCCCGAATCTCGACATGGGATTCATCTCCCATGTTCGAAGCTGATAGCCAGGTACAGTACATTGCAGATCGGGGCGTGCTGTCGGCAGCCGGCGCCCAGCTGGCCCGGGAATGTCCATCGCGTGGCATTTAGGGTGATGCTAACGTGGGCGATCACTGCCTTCGGCAGTGCAGCAATTGCAGGGATGTATGTTGATCACTTGTTGGAGTAATTGATTTGCCAGGACGAGGTAGAGTATTTTTGGGAACTTCAGTTTCCTCTAGCACCGGGGCTTGATTTGGTCTGATTTGAGTAGCTAAGATTTGAACTTGGCCTATCTATATTAGACTGGAGAGCTGGGTAGGGAGTAACACTCTGGATGGCTACTTGGATGTTGTTCGCTACTGTGTCAACTGCTAAGTTATTACTAGATCAAGAAAGGAACCATCTTCATCATGTCTTGCCGCTTTTTGATATTGCAGTTCTTGAGATTAAAGATACCTTCTTGTGAGTTGGAGCTCAGAGCTGCCTTGAGTGGGTAGCTTGTAGCTTTGTTCCAAGTATATCAAAAATGAATGAAATCCTTGCCTGACTACTTACTTCATGGCCGCTCATTTACACACATGCCTTGCAGCCAATTTAAGAATGACAGACAAGCTGAAGAATGGGCCCGAAGATCTCAAGCAGAACTAAAAAAGAAAGTAGGGTATTCGATTCCCGGGACCTATAGCCTTCCAATCCCCACACCGCTGGTCCATCCTCACCGAAGCAAAATAGCAAATTCGCGCCCTTCCCAAACGCATAAACTCCAGAAAACCCCCCGATGACAAGAAACAGGTGTACCCCGGGACCTGCAATGAAAGAGTCCCAGGAGAGACACTGTGCAGTGATCGCATCCTAAACGAAAGTACCCCAAACACAACCCCAGTTATGCAATGCAACCTGATTTTCCTCTTCTGTTTGCGGAACCGACCGCAACATCAAAACACATATTCTCCTGGACTCTTTACTCGATATCTTCAATGTCGCGATGACGGGCAAGAACGTGTCGTTTGTATTCTTCTTGGTTGGTATCCCAGAGCTCGGCGGCTTGGGCGTTGAGGGGGCTCGCGCTGTGGGTGCATTAGCATTGTGAAGGTCCTCGACCGGAACATCGGATGAATGGCATCATACTTGTTGGGCTCCCCGAGCAGACTCTGCAAACTGAGCAGTACACTCTGGACGTTGTACACAGCGCTCCATTTGTCTTTCAAGATATCAAGACAGATGCGGCCGGAGAAGTCGACGTTGGGGTGGTAGATGGGGGTCTTGAAGAGAACGGTAGGAGGAGCATAGGGGTAGTTACTGGGGAAGGCGAACGAGAGTCGGAAGGTCAGTCCTTCGTAGGGGGTTTCGGTTGGACCACTGATGGTGGCGGTCCAGGAGAGCAGGTTGCCGTCGGCGTCTGGGAAAGCGGAGATACCCGGAGAGGGGGAGAGCATGAGTTGCATCAGCTCAGCTTGAAGACTAGAAATCAGTCGGACGGTCAGTATCTGAGCGACTTCGGGGATGATCGACAAATGCGTCTCAGGATGCGGTGACGGACCGTTTGGTGACGCTCTGAGTGTCACTCCTTTGTGCTGAGGAGCCGAGCTTGGAGGTCTCATGAGCGTCAGGAGCGGAGTTCTGAGTGTCTTCCATGGTGTAGTCCATTGTGAAGGAGAGGGTCGAAGGGAAGGTGATGGGAAGGAGAGTCGAAAAGACGGGTAAGACTAGTGATGCAGAGAGAAGTTCCGGAAAAATGCCAGCTTTCGAGACTTAGCAGTAGCGAGGAACAAGAGATAATGAGGTAGGTTGCTGGTGGTGGAATGAGAGCGTAACCGAAAGCAGCGCGACAGTTGGCCGGAGGGGAAGCGGATTGACCCACCGCAAGAACCCCAGAATGATCGGAATCAGAACCTTGGACGAACGGAGAGCTGCAGCAAAAGTATGTATGTATGTCTGGCTTAGAGCAGTTTTGTAGATCCTTTCTTTGAAAATGGGAAACAGGGGAAGTAGTCTGGGTTCTTAGGGAAAAGAGAACTTAAGTGGGGGAAAGACAACTGTGATCGAGTGTTGGATGATTGATTGGGGTTAGTTTTCTTCCTTTGGTTTTTTTGTTTACGCCCTCATCCGCCGGGCAACGCAGCGCAACCGTTCAATGAATGACCCTGATTGATGCTCGCTGGCCATTGATGATCCACCACCGCATCTGATCTCCAAAGCCTCCATCTGACTCTCTCAGTTGACAGACCGGTGGTGATGTTAGTCGTATGCATGACGCTGTTTCTATCAGTGCCAGTCATCTTGAATTGATGACGGCATCACAGTCAGCACACGAAGAAAGAAAGCCCATGCCTGTCTGGACATACAACAACCATACAACAAGTACTGTACGTACTAACACTAGACACTACCCCGTACAGCCTGTGTTATCTGTGTTTTTTGGCTGCCGGACCAAGCCAGAGCTCGGCACAATATGTAGCAGCTGCTCCCTGGGTGGTCAGCCAGTGGCTCCGCGCTGATCGATGCATATGATCAATCAACACGGTTAATTCTCCATCCTTGTCAACTCTTCAGTTCATGCTAAGGCTTTAAACATGTGCGCAGCTTTAGAATCTCTTCAGAGAACAGAGAAACGTTATCATGGGCCTGTTCATCAGAAGTGGCGGCAGGGACTAGTTAACAACTCCCTAACAACGATGTCGGGTTTCAGCACATTACAGCGGCGCAAGACAATTGAGGACCGTGCGCGGAGCGTTGCGCCGTGGCTTGCTGAGAAGGCCCTTGAGGGGCTCTATGCAAGTCGGACGCTGTGTTTATGGGCTGTCACGGCACCGGTAGGACTACATCCACTAGTCTAAAATATGGTACTCGTACATTTGCACCTGTTGGTTGTTGATTCATCAAAACCATAATGAAACCTCCAATGGTGTTACAGTTACCATGAGCATACAGCAACCCTGGAAGTAGTCGATGCTAGCTCCGTGGGCAAAGAATATTCGATGAAGGGACTACCTTTTAGACTCGTACCTTAATGATTTTCTAGCGGTGAGCTACCCTTATTCTCCGGGAAGAGACGTGAGTGAGTGAGTGTATAAATAAGGTCAAATAAGGTCCTGAAACCACCAACTATACTTATGCAGGTAGTGCCCCCGACTAGTACAAAGATTGCCGTGGCCACCCGAGCGTAAAAAGAAAACCATTTTCTTCCTCCTCCAAACATCCAAGAGACTCGTACTTGTCAAAGAAACTCTTACAGTCGCACAAGTCGGAATGGGTGCCTGCGACCGGCAGCCTGTCAACAGACTTCCCAATGAGGATAAAGTGGCTTTCGCGTGCCGGAGCTGCGCGCGTTTCTCTCCAGCTTCGCTCTCCCATCGCTCACCCTTGCGTGGATTCTCACCACCGCATGATTCTAGCTAGAAGTAGCTGCTGAAAACTCGGACAATTTTCTCGATTTGCACCTCCTTCCATCTGACCTGTCATAGACTATCGGATCACCCGTGGAAACCCGGGTTTGCTCGCCAGCACCACGATGCATCACTCGCAACTAGCCCCGCTGCCGAATGACTTACCCTTCCGAATAGTCTCCAAGACGATCGGCCAGGGTGCCTATGCCTGGTCTGCTTGAACCTGATCCCTCTTTCTCGATTGTTCTTGCAATTTAAAACCATCTTGCTAACAATTGTCTTTTAACTTCCTTAGCATCAAAAAAGCCGTCCCGTCCCACACAGATAGTCCGGTCTTCGCAGTCAAGTTCATTCACAAGGAATATGCCGCTCGCCATGGCAAAGTCAGCGCGCGACAATTGCAGATGGAGGCGACGGTACACAAGCACATTGGCGACCATAATAACATAATTTCTTTCTTCCAGACCGGCGAGGACGATGTGTGGCGCTGGGTTGCAATGGAGCTGGCCGAGGGTGGCGATCTTTTCGACAAGATCGAGGCCGACGAGGGCGTGGGCGAGGACATCGCGCACGTCTACTTCTCCCAGCTCATAAGCGCGGTAGGCTACATGCACTCCAAGGGGGTGGGACACAGAGATATCAAGCCGGAGAACATGCTGCTGGCCGCGGATGGCAATCTCAAAATCGCCGACTTCGGCTTGGCCACGCTGTTCGAGTACAAAGGCGTGACCAAACTCTCCACCACCTTCTGCGGTAGCCCGCCGTATATTGCACCAGAGGTGATTTCGTGCAGCAGCAGGAGTCAAATCAAAGGGAGGGGTTACCGACCCGACCTGGTGGATATTTGGTCGTGCGGCATCGTCTTGTTCGTCCTCTTGGCTGGCAACACCCCGTGGGACAGCCCGACGGAAACGAGCTACGAGTATCAAGAATACCTTGCCACTAATGGGCGTACGACCGACGAGCTGTGGCAGCAGTTGCCGCCCGCTACGCTTTCACTCCTGCGCGGCATGTTGAACGTGGATCCAGCCAACCGATTCTCTCTCGAGGACGTCCGCAGACACCCCTGGTACACCCGGCCGAACAAATACCTATCGCGCAACGGCGCGCTCAGAGACACCATCAACATGGCCACGACGATGTTCGAGTCTCTGCATATCGATTTTACACAAGACCCCTTCGCGCGACCGCACGGCAGCGGCGGGAGCCAGGGCTTTGAAGGGACCACCGACCTGATGGACATGGGAGATGAATTCGACGACGACGCCGATCAGAGGATCTCATCCACGCAGCCGGAAATGCCGCGCGGGGGTATGCTAGTGGATTGGGACACGCCGCAGGTGGCGGACGCATTCTCTTCCACCCAGCCCATGGGCAGACCGTCGTTGTTGTTCGGGAAGAACGACACCCAGCCCCTCGACCACCTGGAAGACGAACCGTCCATGTCGCAATTCTCCCCGCACCCCTCCGTGCCCTTAAGTCGCACCCAGAAGGCCATCCGCTTCCACGACATCGTCCCCGCCCGTGCTATGACGCGGTTCTTCTCAACGTGGGAGCTCAAAATCCTAGTGCCCCTGATCTGCGAGGCGCTGCATCGTCTGGGTGTCCCCGTGCCCGCCGTGCCCGCCGTATCCGCCGGGGATACCTCGGCCACGCTGCGGATCATCACCCGCGACGGGCGCATGTGTACGCTGCAGGGTAAGGTCCTGATCGACTGCGTGTCGGAGGGTCTCTTCGAAATCGAATTCATGAAAGTCAAGGGCGACCCGCTGGAATGGCGGCGCTTCTTCAAAAAGGTCGCGGTGCTCTGCAAGGACGCCGTGTACAAGCCTGATAGCTGAACGACCTAACCCTTAGCAGGGGTTTGCTTCCACATTATAGCTTTTTCTTGTTTGTGTTTTTGTCGAGTTGCGTTAGGCTTACGGCCTTATGGTTTAATGTACGAATTAATGCAATAATGATGGGATTGGAGTTGTGGAATTTGGAGGGATTTGGCAACCAAAAAACATAATGGAAAACAAGCTAGCATCACACGCTTACACCTTTTTCTTTCTTTCCCCTTTGTGTTTGCTAGTGATATCTCGATTGTTAGATATGGTGATCATTCATGTTTAGGGACAGGTGGTCACGGTTGGCTCTCGTGATGTTTCAATCCTTACCCACGCCCCCCCTTTACTTGGGGGGAGGGGTTGGGAGGGGGGGCAAGACGGACGCCTCGTACATGACTGCAGTACTGCAGCATTCTAACCACCTGAGTAATTCATGAAATTCGAGGCAAATGCAGGGTTTGTACCATAAAACTGTATAAGTCGCAACATTGGCAGCAAGAGAGTCATAAGCCAAAGCAGAGTGGTCTATCACGCACTGTAGGTAAGCAGGCAGCAGAGTACATACATAAAATCAAAGTCCCAGTGACAGACACACATACACACACACGGATGAGGAAAACTCAGAAGACCCGCGGAGCTCATTTGTTGAAGCCACGAGAGGTAAAGAGAAAATTTGATTGGTATCAAAAACAAATGTTAGCCGGGTAATATATCGTGCTTGTGGAAATGATTCATCAATCTAATCTAAAGGCCAAGTCCTCCCATGCGTCGCACCTCATCAGCCTGTCTCTCCAGCGCTCTGCGCATTGTATACGCGTATTCGTTTTCTTGACGGCGAAGTTCTCGTCGCTTGGCTCGGAGCTCCTCTCGCGCAGCATCGTCCAGGTCCATGTCCATCAACATGTCGTCGTCGTCCTCCTCGTCATCAAAATTCGTGCTGGTGGAGGTAAAACGAACTCGGCCGATGTGTTCGCCCGTCCAGACGAGTAGCTCATCGCCTGTCAGGCTGCCGCCGGTGGGGAGGATCTTGCGGGCGACTTCGCCTTCGCTGTGAGATCGCGACAAGCCGCCCCAGAGACCGGTGGCGTGGTCGGTGTCGCCGTCTGCTGCGCGAGGCTGGTGTGCAGTCGCGCTGGAGTGGTGGCGGCGATGGGTGGGCCCTACCCGAGTATTATGGTGGTGGTGACCATGATGATGGTGGTGGTGGTGTGGAGGTTGGTAGCTGTTGATGTTGAGGCGACGGACTTCGGACCGGCCGTCCCGCTCCACCCATTTGATATTTCCATCTCCATCCGAATAGACAATGCGGGTACCGTGGGATTCGACGGATAGCACCTTGGATCTGGCGACACTTTGTCGGTTGTGATACATCGTTGACACCACGGACGACGACCCGGACGAGTTGATCATGTCGCTGTCATTGGATGGGGCGAGATTATACAATTCAAGTGACCCCCTACCTTTGTAGTCGCCACAGGCTACTAGCTTGTGTGAGGAGGGGAAGCTTGAGTCGGAGATGGGAAATCGTGGCCCGGGAACGGCTGCCAGACCACAAAGCTGACCACCGGAGTGGATTGTGTTTTGCAGCCGCGGGAAGTAGCGGCGGTCGTACTGAAGAATGCTGGGGAAGCGGCCGGCGAGGAAGATCGAGTGAACATGCGGCGCTGGGGGATGCAGAAGTGAGAGGGGCCCTGGTTGGAACAGTGGTGCATAATCGTCGGTGTTCTGTGAAGGGCCCGGGCTTCTGATACGGTGTGGGGGTCGGCCGTCAGGTTGCAGTTGCAGAAGCGGCGAGTCGGGCGGAGCGTACAGCTGTGACTTCGGAACCAACGAAACAGTTGGTACTTCACATCGTAGATTAATGGCTTCTTCTTCCTCGCTTGCGGACAGTCGACCGTCGTAGATGTGTAGACTCAGCGTCGTAGCGAGTGTCAACGGCACCGAGTAGTCCGTTTCCTGAGACAAGGCGAACACGGACCAAGGATAGCGTTGCTGAGAGACCACCCGCAAGGTTTCCAGATCGACCTCGTTCAGGACATTTCCCACAGCCAGATAAGCCCTTCGGCGGATGGAGTCCACGCTCACACATTCCCCCAGATTCACATATTCCAGAGACTGTTTTGCCGCGGCGTGATCCCTCCTGCCAGAGAGGTTGGTCATCAAGATGCCCGGGGCGCTGACGCCAATCATCTTACCCTTTGTCTCTTGCGACCCAATCGAGTGGGAGTGGTTGAGGTCCCAAATGCAAACACTTCCATCGTCCAGAGGAGCGATGACTTTGTTTTCCCTGGCTGAGCTCCAGTCCCGCAGCAGACCCATGCCCTTTGCTTCTCGATACGCCCTTCTTTTCTGGCCTTCCACCCTTGTGAACGGGCGCTGCATCCAGCTGAGCGAGATAGGCCCATTCCGTGCGATATACTCCGAGTACCAGTTCACATCTTCACCCTCGTAAGACGGGTCCCACTCCGTGGCCGCCCGCGATCGGAGACCAAATGACGGCGCCCGATCGAATGGTTTAGCACCACCCCCGTCATTCCCCGCATGGGGTTGAATGAGGGATCGAAGTGTAGTCTGCCCTAGCGCACTCAGCGGTGCGGTGGAGTTGGTGACAAGACTGGCGGAACCGGTGCCATTGGCGGAACGAGAGGCTCGCGTGGCGCTCCATGACTCTTCGTAGCAGTGGAGTCTCCAGAGATTATTGTCACGGGCGACAAGAAACAAGCGTTTTGAAACAGATTGGAGTTGTACCCGCTCATGTGGAGTGAGGTCTGAAGGGCACCGTTAGCTTGTTTCGCTTATGTTGTTATTGGGAGCTTGCGACTTTAGACTAGCAGCAGCACTCGGACGGAGGGGCTGTGATGTTTGGGTGTTTGAGTGTTTGGGTGTGGGGTTTATTAGTAGGGGGGGGGGGGGGGGGGGGAGAAATAAGGGACTATCTTGCATACAATCAATAATCTCACAGAGGATCTCTACGGGGAGTTTCTCCATGAGTGAGGCAGAGGGAGAACCAACAACACCATTGAGGGCGGAAGGGGATTCATCTGGCTTGTGCGATGGGGTGTAAGCAAAGGCCATAAGTATTATGATTTGCGTTCTTGGGGGTTTGGGGGCTCCATTTATTGCTCTCCACAGTCCGGATTCTAGACCCGCATCACGTGCAAGGCCCATGCAGGAGGCTATAAAGTAGGTATACATGCACCTGGTTACATACAGACTATCATAACATCTATATCGTAGAACGCTGCTGTAATTAGCGGTACGAAGGTGCCTGCAATGAGAGAGGTATCAAGGAGTTACAATAGCTGATGGAGGTCAACTACCTGTAGAGAGATTATTAATAAAACGTGCACGCATTTCAGCAACAAAAAGGACCCAACACTTGCTGCTCACTATAGTACTTGTTGATCAATCAAGAGACCAATTGTTAATGACCCCTTCGGTTCCCAGAGGTGGTCATGGCCACTTGCCAGAGAATAATTTCCCTGCCTGAGAAAGGCGGCCGCTTCCGGGCCCGGTCCAAGACAGCTGAGCCTGCAGGCCTCGGCGAACCACCCGCTCATGACCGACATCTGACAAACCATTAGTGATCCGCTCCCTATTCCTCAGGGCTCAGACTTTCCTTAGCCTTCTTTGTACATCTTCCCTGACTAAAAACTATCCCTGTAACTACGATTTCACTTTAGGTCCTTACGGAGTATATCATATCCTTGAGCCTCATTGTCCTAACGCAGGAAAGCAATATCCAAAGCGCGATCACATCTCGATTGATCTTCCTCGACCCTCCCTCCATTTGCCATCTCCGAACCCGAGCTTCCGAAAGTCCGCCCCGCGCCTCATCTCCGGCCGAGATAGAGTCATCCGCCTTGTGATCGGGTGTTCACTCCGCAATTGCAACCTATAATTACTCAATTGGACCGGACTCCATATTTTTACGCTGTACCACACAAAAGAGCGTTCTTCGTCCCATCTGTAAACACATCAGAAGAAGCCTTTTCAATACGAGCTTCGCTTCGCCCGCTCCTCGCCTCGCCATAATTGCCCCGCCTCCAATTCCGCATAGAGGGGCAGATCCAACCACCTCACACCTTAAAAGTCTACACAACACATTGACCATGGCTGCACCGTTGGATTCCAGTCTGAAGTTCGATTCCATCGAAGACACCCTTGCCGCTTTCAGTGAGTCTTTTCGCTCCCCTTCTCAAAATTCCTCAACACTGCGCATGCCTCCAGGCGTCTGCTGGCATGGTGCAGAATCGCATCGCGAACTAACCACTCAATTGCGCTTCAGAGAATGGCGAGTTCATTATCGTCCTCGACTCTCAAGACCGCGAAAATGAAGGCGACTTGATCATCGCCGCCGAGTCTATCACCGACGCCCAGATGGCCTTCCTGGTCCGGTACACGAGGTGAGAAATACACAACCCCTCCTTGTCTCGCTCCTCGGACGCAGGCACGAGACTCCTCAAAATGCATTCAAGAAACCCAATATTCGAAAGAATCCCATACTGACTTGGCATCTTTCCAATATCAGCGGTCTCATCTGCGCCCCCGTTACCCCTGAAATCGCCCAACGCCTGGCCCTCCCGCAGATGGTGCTCGAAAACGCGGACCCCAAGGGCACCGCCTACACGGTCTCCATTGACTCGAGCGACCCGTCCGTCACCACTGGTATCTCCGCACAAGACCGCGCTTTGGCCTGCCGCACCCTCGCCTCCCCGACCGCCCGCGTCGACGATTTCCGACGACCGGGCCACATAATCCCCCTACAGGCCCGCAGCGGCGGTGTCCGCGAGCGGAGAGGCCACACGGAAGCGGCGGTGGAGTTCTGTCGGTTGACGGGCAAGGTCCCCGCGGGTGTAATCGCGGAGCTCGTCGAGGACGGCGAGCTGGTTGAGGGGGTGCCGGAGATCCGGGGCAACAATGGCATGATGAGACGCGATGGCTGTCTGCGGTTCGGCAAGAAGTGGGGGATCAAGGTCTGCACGATCGAGGATCTGGTCGAGTATGTGGAGAAGATGGAAGGTGGTCTCACGAACGGGGGCCAATGAACATGGAAGAGAGCAGAAACAGAAAAAAAAGGGTCGAGAGAGGGTATACTTGTGGTTTCTTTCCCTTTGACGGTTGTATAAATTTCTTCTGAGTGATTTCCCCTCCTGTTCGGCTGTGCATCAGGACCAGGCTCGTTGGGTTTGTTGTTTACTGCATTATGCGCGGCTTGGTTGCATGTTTGTGTATGGGTGACTAGAGTGAGGAAAAGAGAAAATAGATTCTATCTTTATGGCTGGTTTACACGTTTTCATGAGTCTTGGAGGAGTCGTTGTTAGATAAAAGAGGACAATCGATACGAGCATCAAGTCCATCATTCATGCAATTGTTTGAATTAGTTGGGTATCGATTTTGCCTTTATAGTATACAGCGAGGGCGATGAAGATCGCCAGAAAACAGACATGACCAAGCCAGATAAGATCTGGTCAGAAGTAGCAGAGAAATCAGAAGTATATCCTTTCCTGCGTCTAATGTTTACCCACCAAACGCCAGTATAATGCGAAGTCCGAGTAAAAAAGGAAAATGAAGAGAACACCCCGGTATACCTTTTTTAAAGTCTTGTAGGCTTTTACTTTTTTTGTTTCTTTAGAGGAGCCAAACAAGCGAGCGAGGACGGATTGTCGGGGAGCAACACCGATCGCATGAACTCCTTACCGCTTCAGGTGAGAGTAATCCCGCAACACGCCCATCATGTGGGTGTTGGTCGTCTTCCCGCTGCGGCGAGGCTTCTTGACCTTCTTGTGCTCGATCTTGGGCCGCTGCTTGACGACCTTGTTCTTGTTGGTGGGGACGATTCCGGCGCGCTCCAGCTCCTCCTTGACGGTTTGCTGGTCTGGGATCTTGATCTTCTCCCAGATCTGCCGGAACTCGTCGTCGAAGTGCTGGATCAGCGACGGGTCGTTGGCCCAGACCATCTTCGCATGGTCGTCCTTCTTGTTCCGCGTCACCAAGAGCTTCCCTTCCTTCTCGAGCTGGTTGATCGTCTCCTCCACGTTCGGCCACCCCTCCCGGAGCTCGCGGACGCTCATGCCCGCGCCCGTGGACTGCGCCTGGAGCTTTTTGAGGAGCTGCTCCGCGGTGCGAATGTTGTGCGGAGGCCGGAAGCTGAAGGTGCCCTCGCCGTTGGCGCCGCGGGGATCGTACTGCACCTTGTCGTGCACCTGCAGGATGCTTCGCAGGGCCTGGACGTAGCCCTGGTCGTTTGCGCGGTGCTGCAGGGAGAGGTAGGAGACGATGTCGGGGAACTTGAGCGGCACGCCTTTCGCCTTCATGTGCTCGATCGCGAAGATGACCTGCGTCATGATGTCCTTGCCCGTGCCGGTATTCGCGGGCTGTGAGTAGACAATGTCATCGTGGCGTTTGCGATCTCCGCCGCCCGGGGTCGGTGTCGATGTGGAGGAGGGAAGCTGCGAGCTGCTTGCGGAGGTGGTCGTGTTGTTCTGATGGTTGAAGCGTCTCTGCTGCCCGAGTCGACTTGCGGAGTCGACAACGCTGGCGTTGAAACTCTTCAGCTGGTTCTGAAGATAAGACATGTTTGCGATCGAGATAGCGAAGAAGATAGCTTAGTATGGACCGAAAAAAATGAACGAGTGAAGGGGTTGACCGCAGCGAGCCCGGAGATCTAGTAGACTCCTAAAGGTGGGGAGATAGAACAAGGACGAGGCAAAGCCTCTCTCTTTGTGAGGGAGCACAAAGAAGCTCTTTTCGCGACGCGACAATAGATCACAGAAGCATGAAGGAAGTTGGCTCTGTTCTGATGCAACAACCTGTGTGGTTGAGAATGACAGGGTGAATGAGCTGAGAGGGAGATGAGAGTGTTCGTCATCACGGATCTAGAAGTTCTGACATTGCAGGTTGCGGCCTTGCGGCCCGCTCAGGCACCACTATTGCACGTGATAGTAGCCAGCTGCGCTAACCTGTTTGGAGCTCCGCCCAAAGCCAATGCGTAACTTGCTTGACCTGCAAGCCGGTCTCTCAATCAATCTCATCTCACCTATTGCGCGACAAGGGGCTTTCTCTTCTTTTCGCCCTGCCTCTGTCAGCCTCTTCACTCTTTCTCTCTGTCTTGCTTCGCCCCTCATGACCTAGGCTGGCATTTGGGGTGCTGTGCGCAACTATTCCCGAAACGCGCGGTGACAATCGCCTGACCGACGTAGCTTTGCCTACTACATTACCATTCACTCTGAGCAGATATCACGTCGACTTTCTACGATATATTTGCTTCGAACAAAGGTTAACAGCTTGATTGCTGCGCACATTTAGCAGCCATCATGGCTACCGCAACAATTGAACTGCCGTTCATATCGGCTCATTACTCCATCGCCGAATCGACTCTTTCGACGCTCACCCAAGCTCCTACGGTCGAATTAGTCAACCAACTTCTGGAGGCCATCTCCAAGAAAGCCCGCGAACACGATGAACTCAAAGCAGACAAGACCCGCTTGGAAGTGGAGCTTGACAATGCGGTCCGCAGCAGCGAAAGCAAGGTCAAGGTGCTGAAGAGCTCTATCGAGAAGGGCCATGCTGAGGTTGAGGAAACAAGGAAGAAGCTTCATGAGTCGGGTCAGACAGAGTAACCACTGCGGTTGACTGATTTTCTTTGCTAACGCATTACAGAAAATGCTCGATCGTCCCTAGAATCCGAGATCGCCTCGCTCAAGTCGTCCTCCACAACCAATGAATCCGAAGTGAGCACACTGAAATCCCGCATTGCCTCTCTAGAAGCTTCGAATCGTGATACCATGGCTCTGCTCGAATCGAAGACGACAGCGTATGACAAGCTCGCCGAAGAGCTGTCAGCCCAACACAAGAAGACTGTCGAATTGAGACGAGAACTATCTACCGCCGAACAGAACCTTCAAGCCGCCAACTCTGCATCTGCTAGCGCCAAGTTCCGCGAGCAGAGTCTCCAGCAAGACTTGGAGTTGACCAAGAAGAGTAATGAATGGTTAGACACTGAGCTGAAGACCAAGTCTGCAGAATACCTGAAGTTCCGCAAGGAGAAGAGCGCCCGCATCTCAGAGCTTCAGCGAGCGAATGAAGAGGCTAGCGCCACTGTTGACTCCTTGAGACGTAGTGAGAATGCTCTCAAGAGTCGCTTGGATGAGGTCGAACAGCGTTACGAAGAGTCCCTTTCGAGCATCCAGCAGCTGAAAGAAGAGGCGATACAAGCGAGCGAGTCATTCCGGATTGAATTGGATAGTGCGAACAGGCTGGCTGAATTGCAACGCAACTCTTCTGAAACCGCCAAGCAGCGGGTGCAGGAACTTCAGGTAGCCCTGGAAAAGGCCAAGGACGATGCGGCCGAAGAGATCTCCCGCCTTCGTGTTGAGATCGAGACTGAACATTCCGACAAGCAGGCTGCTGAGCGCCGCATTGCAGAGCTGGAGCAGACTGTGAGCCAACTCGAGTCAGACGGTCAGGCTAGAAGGAGATCCATGAGCCCAGCTCTCAATGGAGGAATGCCCACTACGCCTATCCGCTCAGGTACACCGGTTGGAACATTCTCCCCGAGAGCTTCGAGAACCAAGGGTGGACTTACGATCACACAACTTTACACCGAGTACGACAAGATGCGGTCACTGCTGGCTGCCGAACAGAGATCCAACCAAGAGCTCCGGTCGACGCTGGATGAAATGGTCCAGGATCTCGAGGCCAGTAAGCCCGAAATCGATGAATTGCGAGCCGACCACGCCAGACTGGAGAACGCCGTTATGGAAATGTCCAACATCCTTGAAACGTCTGGAAAGGAGAGGGATGATGCGACAAAGGAGGCACGCAAATGGCAAGGACAGGTGGAGGGACTTGCACGTGAGGGCGACATTCTACGACAGCAGCTTAGGGACCTGAGCTCGCAAGTGAAGGTCCTAGTGATGGAGAACGCGATTCTCAAGGAAGGAGAGGAGAGTTACGATAGGGAAGAGCTCGAGAAGATTGCTCGACAGGAAATTGATGACTCGTCTGCAGATCTTAATCCAACGGGACGCTTCATCAGCCGCAACCTGACGACTTTCAAGGATCTCCATGAGCTACAGGAACAGAATGTTACTCTCCGCCGCATGCTAAGAGAGTTGGGCGATAAGATGGAAGGCGCGGAGGCTCGTGAACAGGATGTTATTCGTCAACAAGAGCAAGAAGAGTTGAAGGAGCTGAGGATTCGTGTGCAGACTTATCGCGACGAAATCTCCAACCTTGTTGCGCAGACAAAGAGCTATGTGAAGGAGAGAGACACTTTCCGAAGCATGCTGACCCGTCGACGTCAGACCGTCGGCGATGCTTCTGTCTTCTCTCAGTCTCTTCCACTAGGGGCAGTTCCTCCTGGAGCAGCCGATGAACAGGCTAAGGACATTCCCGACTATGCCGAACTACTACGCAAGGTTCAAGCTCACTTCGACAACTTCCGTGAGGAGTCTGCCACCGATCACGCCGCCCTGAAACAACAGGTTAATGAGCTTTCGCGAAAAAATAGCGAGTTGATGAGCGAAATCAGCCGTTCTAGCAGTCAGCTTGGCGCTGCTACCCAAAGAGCCGAGCTCCTTCAGAGCAACTTCAATATGCTGAAGAGCGAAAATGCAGAGCTGCAGAAACGCTACGCCAGTCTGCTGGAGAACGCCAACAGGCAAGACCTTAGGACCCAGCAAGCTGCCGAAGACCTTGTTGAGACCAAGGGACTGGTGGAAAGCCTTCAACGCGAGAATGCGAACCTCAAGGCAGAAAAGGATCTGTGGAAGAGTATTGAGAAACGACTGATTGAAGACAACGAAACTCTGAGAAATGAGAGAAGTCGCCTGGATTCTCTGAATGCCAACCTTCAAACTATCCTGAACGAGCGTGAACATACAGACTCTGAGAGCCGCCGCAGGCTACAGCAAAGCGTCGAATCCTTGGAGTCAGAACTGCAGTCTACCAAACGCAAACTCAATGATGAGATTGAAGAGTCAAAGAAGGCGACCCTGCGCAGAGAGTACGAGCATGAGCAGAGTCAGAAGCGAATTGATGACTTGGTGACAAGCTTGGGCTCCGTCCGGGAAGAATTGATCGCAACTAAGACCACCAGAGATCACTTGCAGTTGAGAGTGGATGAATTGACCGTCGAGCTTCGCAGTGCCGAAGAGCGACTTCAAGTCGTACAATCTAGACCGAGTGTTTCTGCTGCTGCTACTGCCGCCCCCGCTACAGCGCCCGAGACCGAGGAAGGTCAGGAGTCTGGCTTGACCCGTGAGCAAGAACTTAGCATCGAGGTTTCCGAACTCAAACGTGACCTTGACTTGGCCAAGAATGAGCTTCAGCATGCCGAAGAGCGAGTTGAGGACTACAAGGCCATCAGCCAGCAGAGCGAGGAACGCCTACAGTCTGTGACTGAGACACATGAAGAATATCGGGAGGAGACGGAGCGTCTGATTGAGGAGAAGGACAAGAAGATTCAGGATCTCGAAAAGCGGATTGAGGAGATTTCTTCCGAGCTGTCTACAACGAACAATGAACTCACCAAGCTGCGTGATGAGCAAGGAGAGGCTGGCCGCCGCTTGGAGGAGCAGAAGGCTGTTTTGGAATCTGAAATTGCCAGGCTGAAGGATGAGAATGAGCGTCATAATTCTGCCTTCCAGTACCACAAGGAAGATCTCCGCGCGCAGACTGAAATTGCGCAGCATGCCCAACAGAACTACGAGAGTGAATTGGTCAAGCACGCTGAGGCAGCCAAGAACCTGCAGATAGTGCGCTCCGAAGCTAATCAGCTTAAGCTGGAAGTGGTCGAGCTACGGACACAAGCCGAGACTTACAAGAAGGACCTTTCTCAGAAGGAGGAAAGCTGGAACGAGCTTAAGGAGAGATACGAGGGTGAAATTACCGACTTGCAGAAACGCCGGGAAGAGGTTCTCCACCAGAACTCTTTGCTACACTCGCAGCTGGAGAATATCACGAACCAAATCTCGGCGTTGCAACGTGACCGCGCGAACATGACTGAAACCGATGACGATAATGCTGAAACTTCGCCACCCAACCTTGAAGGTCTCCAGGAAGTGATCAAATTCCTACGCAGGGAGAAAGAGATTGTTGATGTGCAATATCATTTGTCGACACAAGAAAGCAAGCGTCTCCGTCAGCAACTTGAGTACACGCAGTCTCAGCTCGACGAGGCACGTCTCAAGCTAGAGCAACAGCGTCGCGCTGCTGCTGATAGCGACCACACCGCTCTCAGCCACAACAAACTTATGGATACCTTGAACGAATTGAATCTGTTCCGCGAGAGTAGTGTCACTTTGCGCAATCAGGTCAAGCAGGCAGAAACGTCGCTTGCGGAGAAATCTGCACGTATTGAGGAATTGGTTCAGCAGATTGAGCCTTTGGAAACGAAGGTTAGGGAGTTGGAGAACGTGGTTGAGACGAAGGACGGAGAATTGAAGCTGCTGCAAGCTGATCGTGATCGCTGGCAACAACGTACTCAGAACATCCTGCAGAAGTATGACCGCGTTGACCCTGCCGAAATGGAAGGACTCAAGGAGAAGCTTGCAACCCTGGAAAAGGAGCGTGACGAGGCCATTCAGGCTCGTGACACTCTTCAAACCGAGGCCGCTGCCTTCCCTGAGCAGCTCAAACATGCCGAAGATAGAGTCCAAGAATTGCGCAGCAAGCTTACGGAGCAGTTCAAGGCTCGGTCTAAGGAACTTACCGGTCGTATTAACGCTAAGCAGGCGGAACTGAATACGGTCACACAGGAGAAGGAGGTGATCCAGGAGGAATTGGCCAAGACAAAACAAGAATTAGAGGAACTCAAGGCGAGAATGGCAGAGAAGCCGGCTGCTCCTGCACCAGTACCCGAGACAACGACTGAAGTCAACTCGACCCCCGCCTCGCAATTCCCTGCTCCGACCACGCAAGTGGCTGTCGCCACCGACGACGAACGGGTCAAGGCTTTGGAAGAAAAGGTGCAACGTCTCGAGGCAGCCCTTGCTGAGAAGGATGCTGTATTGGCTGCCAAGGATACCGAGCACGAGAGGAAGGTCAAGGAACGCATCGACAAGATGAAGGAGGTGTTGAATAGCAAGCTGGCAGAGACTCGGGCGGCACATCGCCAGGAAGTGGAGCGACTCAAGGCCAGCCTACAGGCAGGTCCACAAGCTCCTGCGACCCCTGGCCAGTCCCATGCAGAAGCAGCTCCTGCAGCTCCTGCAGCTCCTGCAACCCCTGCAGCATCTGCTACTCCTGCGGTGGAAGGTGGACTTCCGGAGTTGACGGATGCCCAAGCAAGGGACCTTGTTGCGAAGAATGAAACCATCAAGATGATCATTCGGAACAACATTCGTGCGCAGGTTAGCAAACAAATGGAAGCTGAAAAGCGAGGCACCCAGCAGAATTCGGAAGCTGCGGCTGCCCTACAGCAGAAATTTGATGAAGAGAAGGAGGCCTTGAAGAAGGCCCACGACGAAAGTGTGGAGGAGAAAATTAAGGCTGCTGTGGAGCTGTCGGACAAGAAGTCCCTGGCCAAGCTCAGTATGCTTGATTCTCGGTGCAGGAATTCGCAGGCCAAGCTCGACGTGGTGCAGAAGGCGGCCACGGAGACCCCTCAGAAACCTGTTGTCGAGGTTTGGGAGATAGCTAAGGTCACCAGAGCACCCCCGGCTGCTCAAGCGCAAGCCAAACCCGCACAGGCTGCAGCATCTCCCGCACCAGCACCATCGCCTGCCACAGTAGCAGCACAACCGGCACGTGCGGCCCCTTCGCCATCTCCGGCGCCGGTAGCGACTCCTGCAGCAAAACCTGCGCCTGCGCCTGCACCGACACCTGCACCTGTCACCCAGCAAGGCACCCAGCAGGGCACCCAGGCGCCTGCTGCAGAAGCAACAGCTGCCCAGCCATCAGCTCAGGCTCAGACACAATCGGAAGCACCCTCGCAGACGGAAGCACCGCAGACCCAAGCAGCTGACGAAACGGCTCCTGAGCAGGGTGCGGCCGGCGCAGTGCCTAATCCTTTCGGACAAAGTCAGAACAAACAGCCAGCGTCGCTTCCCAACAAACCTCCAGCTGGTGCTGCCTCAGGCGGCGTCTTAAGAGCTCTCCAGTCCGGACTTCCAGTTGCGCGCGGTGGTCGAACAGGCGGGCGTGGCGGCGGTCAACAGAATCCTTTTGGTCAACAAGGCCAACAGGGCGCCCAGCAGCAAGGTCAGGGTCAAGGCCAGCCTAGCCAGCGCGGCTCGGGTCTGCCTCGCGGTCGTGGAGGGCGTGGAGGCCAAGGCCGGGGTGGCAATCAGAACGTGCAGACAGCCAATCTCGGCCAGGCGCAGCACGGCCCGGCCAGTCCTGGCGGTGGTCGTGGCGGCGCGCTTAGTGCGAACGCGCGTCAGTTTGTTCCTCAAGGCAACAAGCGCGCTCGGGATGATGGCGGCGGGGACGGCGGCGATGGAGCAGCTGGCAAGAGAATGCGTGGTGGTGGTGGTGGTCAAACCCGGGGTTCTTAGATGATTGTGATTATGGATTGTGGTTGTTACATTTTGACTTTTCATTCCTTCTGTTATACATGCATGTATTTTATGTCCCAGTTCTTCGGCTTATAAGGAAACCGAAGTGAACCTACGAATGTTGTAATCCTTAGCGGGATGAGAATCATACTTTCTTTTGTCTATCACGGCTGATGAGTTGTACATGACTCGAATACCCTAAATTGGGTATGAATGTTTCATATCATTCAGAGTCAACAAAGTATAAAATCGATTAGGCGAAATCCCCCATATTCTATCCGGGTATAACCAACAGTAAAGAAACACCATGCATCTCGCTGGAAACCATCCGTCAATCCCAAGCGCCCCCCCCCCCCCGTCTTCACCCTTTCTAACTATGACCCTTCGGGGGAGCCTCACTTAGCCCCTCCTCCGATTCTGCGCCACCAACAACCTCCCCGCAGCCTCCCTCTCCAGATCCAGCACCATCAACCGCGCATCCTCCAACGTCCTCGCCTCCAACGGCGCCTCCCCAGCCTTCTCCCCATCAACCCTCTGACTTTGATTTTGATTCTGTGATTGAGACCATTGATGCACCCCCCAAACCACCCCACGCGTCTCCCTCCTCCGCCGCCGCTGCCCAGCCCCTCCCCCACTGCCCCAAACAACCACCCACTCCCCCACCCCCGTCCCCGCCGCAATCTCACAGCCCGCACACACCCGCGCATGCGCCCCGACATCCACCCGCCGATTGATCACGGCCAACGCATCGATCACCACCCCGGAATGAATATGCGCGCCTGGGGCGATGGACACTGCCGGGCCGATGGTCACGCGCGAGGAGATGCGGATGGGGAGGGCGGCTGCTGCTGCTGCGGTGCCATCACCGGCTGTGGTTGTGGAGGAAGAGGAGGAGGAAGGGGCGGGTCTCGAGTTGCCGGGAAAGGGGGCCGGCGTGCCGATGACGGTCTTCTCGCTGATAATGCAGTTGTTGCTGATGAGGATGGGGCCCTCGTGGGAGTAGAGGCGGGCGCGCGGGTGGATGATGGTGTGGGCGCCGATGGAGATCGGGTGCGTGCCTTGGAAGATTGTGGTGTCGGAGATTTGGGCGCTGGGGTGGATAGCGAGTGGGGGGCGGGTCGTTGACGATGTTGTGGTGGTGGTGGTGGATAAGGGGCGGTGGTGGTGGTGTTGTTGTGGTTGTTGTTGGTGTGGGTGTTGTGGTTGTTGTGGTTGTGGTTGAGGTTGAGGTTGAAGGGGGGGGTGTGGTTTGAGGTGGGCTGTTGGTGTTTGTGAGCGGGGGTCCATTTTTGTTATTTTCTTGGTGCTTTGTGGGGATTCGTTGGTTGGTGTGATGTAGTGTGTAGATGGGGGGTGAGGTGGTGTCGGTGTGTTCTAGTGGCGTTGTGTGGGAGGATGAATTGGAGGATTGTGTTGTTGTTGTTGCGAAGCTAAGCTGCGACTCGGAAAAAGATAAGATTGCGGAGATTCGGGGTTGGTTCCGATATGCGGCCGGCTTGCTGGCCTGCCGCATTTCAGGAGTGCCCCGTAGACGGTCAATTCTAGTTAGCTGTATAGAACGGTAGAAATTCCAGAAGTATAGCTTGTCTATGAAATCATTTGAATCTAATCACACCCAATCCCAAACCGGGTATCTATCTAAAAACATCTAACCCATATCGTTCTATCATCTCTACTCATCCTCTTCCTCCCCCTCCCCAGCCTCCACCTCCTTCCGGATACCATTCCTCCTCCGCCACGCCCACACCCCGCGATCCACCTCCGCCTTGGTCACCCCATCCCTCACCAGACAGAACGTGACCCCGAGCTCCGTCTCCACGTTCCGGTTCCGCGCCTCATCATCAAAGAACAGCATCTCCTCGTACGCGACCCCGCTCGCCTGCTGGATCTTGGCGAAGTGCTGCGTCTTGGTGGCCGGGAAGATCTGGAGGTGGTCGAAGTAGTCCAGGGCGCGCATGGTCTTGGTGCGGTGCGCCGCGGGGTTGTCGCTGAAGGTGGGAATGATGTGCAGCGCCTTGAGCATGTCGCGCGCCAGGTCCGGGGCGTGGGTGCGCGAGGCCACGGCCAGCGGGATGTTCTTGGTCTTGCAGCTGTGGATGATGGAGGGGACGGCCGGGTAGAAGGTGAAGGACTCGTTCCATCTGCAGCAGATCAGAGATATTAGTTTGGAGGTGCTTGGTTGGTTGGGTTGGGGTTTTATGGGATGCGCTTGGGGAGAATGAGGCGAGAGCTTACTTGTCTGTGCAGCGCGAGTTGTTGTCGCGGGGTTTGATCGGGGCGCTGACGTGGGTGTCGACCCAGAAGGGCCATAGGGTGTAGTCGAGGTCGAAGGCGATGAGTTTGGGGAGAGGGAGGCCGTCGCTGAAGGTTTCGGGGGCGACGGAGGTGTCTTCCACGGGTTGCGTGTTGGTTCGTCGCGTGCGCATCTTGTTTGGTTCTAGACTTCCAAAATGAAAGTGAGATTTAGATTAAGAAGATGAAAATCAGCCTGGATTGGGGGTTGAACAGGTCTAATAAATGCCGTCGAGGTCTATAAAAGTGGCAAATCAAGTCCCCAATTTTTTCGTTTATTCACAAGTACGAGTAAGATGGAGAGGACCCCAGCGAAATGACGTGGGAGACGCTGGTGGAAATCGGAGAAGGATCACGTGGGGCGGGCGATAAGAATGATAAGCCTGCAGAAAGAAAGGGCACTCTTTTTGTGTCAGCAATCAAGGGCTGTTGCCTATCTTTTTTTTGGATTTGTACTTAGTAGTAAATGTAAGCCTAATGAAATGAACTATGGACACATTCGAAATCAGCCGTGGAAAAACACATCTCAGGTCGGAATCCCATCCAGTCAGCACCAAATCACCACCCAGCATGTCAGGCCAGCAAACAACTTTCCGAGGAAACATCTAGCACACACCAGATACAATTCATTCACCCACACGCGTTCTTCGAACTTTCCCTACCGGTAATCATCCCCGATCCCAAATCCGCGAATTCGTTCTTCATCAAACTTGCTTGTTGTCTGATAGATAGACACCATCTTCCATGAGGGAGGGCACAGATCGTTGCGGATGCAAACCACTTTGCTCGCTCCACGATGTTAAGAGTTTTCCAATTCACAGGGGACTGTAGGTGAAGCAGCCCACGGATTCTAGGAATTTCCAGAGCTGCTGGTGAACCTCCGTGCCCTTGATTTGCACACCATAAGCAACAACATCCCAGTCACTTGCGTAGTGCATGATGCGAGTTTGTTGCTCGAGATCCAGGATCCCATCGGCCCCGACTGCTTCAGCGATGATCCGACGCCAGACTTTGAAAGGCATATCATAGCGCCATTCCTGTTTGCCAGGGTCGCGAACGGCGCGTCTTCGAGTGGCAGTCGCCGCCGGTTGAGAGGGTGGAGGGACTCTTCTGGTCGTCTGGTTGGTATCAGAAAGATCGCCGGAAGGGATACGCAGTGCTGGAGGAGGTCCCGGGGCTGTCGACGGCAGGTTGGGAAACTGGAGGTCGAAGCTAACGGCACTCGGATGGAAGGGACCCGAACTTGCAGAGCGGGAGTGCTGATCGGTTGTGTTCACTGCAGAAGCCTCCGAGATGCTCAAGTTGTTGCGTCGGACTGGGAGAAAACTAATCAGCGGCGCCGAAGTCGGCGGCTGAGCTCTGCGTATCTGATACGGCGCGGCGTTCTCGACATGGTAGTATGTGGGCTCGCCAGAGGAGCTATCATCGCTGTCCGGATCCATGGGAAACGAGACTACCCGGCCTTCGGTCGGTCGAGGGATCGGCATCCGCTCTAGGATGTCATTTTCTTCGCAATCTATGGGACGGTCCCGGTCTTCTAGAAGCAGAGCGCGCGAAACAAGCATCATTCTCAAGGCGGTGCTCCAGATTGTGCTGCTGTGCATGCCGTCAGCCCTGATAACCTCGAGACGTACGCGTTTGCAAACTCGAGTGAACTCGGTTCGCAGTTTGCTCTGTAACTTCTGCTGGGTAGCACTATCGATGTCTTGACTCGTCTCGCTGGAAGCGTCGCTGGCCTCCGCGAAGTTGTTGTTGTCAACACCCTGATCTGCTGCCTCGAATTCGGTTTCAACTTTGGACTCTCGGAGGTGCTGAAGAGCTTCGGCTACCTCGATCATGCGGAGCACATGAGGAGCTAGCTTGTCGTTAGGGCGCCAGATGATGCTTTTGCATGAGGCCGCACTCTCAGGCAGCACCGTGGCTTTGCCAAGCACCGGAAGAAAGTTCAACATCGACTCGGGGGCACGCTGAATGTCGAGCATGGGAATCAGCTGAATGGCACTATGACTCGTCATCGAGACATTTGTGAGGATCAAGTATGGGATCGAGCGTAGGCCACGCGTGCAGGCGAATTTCTTCAATTCGGCGTGCGTATGAGCTTAAGGCACCAAAAGAAAAGCATATCAGCTTATCTGTCCTGTCATTGACATAGTGGGACGGGGAATCCCAACTTACCGTTTTTCTGCTCTGGCTTGGGCAGAGACGGGGACTTCTTCCGAGCGGTGCCTTCGTTCTCTTTACCGGCCATGACCTTCAACCGAGCCACGCCCTCAGCCACGGATTCTGGAGTCGATGGGTATTCCTCCTCATCGGAGTCCAATTCAAGCACCTCATGCGCATCGCCCTCGAGGAAATCCAGGTCCGATTTCATGTAAATGCGCGCCAGGTGCTCGACGCCCGCACGACCGAGGGCATTACCACCCAGGTCCAGCTTGCGAAGCACGAAGCACTTGTGGAACGAGTTCAGGAAATTAGTCCACTTCCGGACGGCGTCGGGGGTCGTGATCTGAATGTCGTTGTTGGACAGATCGAGCTCGCGCAGATCGCCCGCACTCCGCTTGACCACCTCCGCCAGCATCGGCAGCGAGTCCACGGTCAGCCGGTTGCCGGACAGGTGCAGCTCGGTGACTTTGGCCAGTCCCATGGGGTGCTCCTGGTCCCTGAACTCGAGGCAGTCCACCAGATCTCCGATGAACTGGGCCAGGCCCTCGTCAGTCAACACCTTGCCGCTCACGTCGATCTCGACAAAGGGGTCTCGTGCGGCGGATTTGGAACCTGCACCTGGTGGGAAACGTTTTTTCTGTGATGTCAGATCAGGAACCTAGGCTCAGAGATGTCCAGTTGGGTGACTCTGTTGCGCCATGGGGGTTGGTTCGGTTCAAACTTACCAGGTCTTTGGACACGGCTTGGCCGGCCTTGAGACCGCTGATACGTCTCTGTTATGTCTATTATTAGCTAGCCTGGTTCTTCAGGGCAGTGCTTGATATATCGTCGGAAAGGGTTCTCTCACCGCGAGATAATTGAGCTTCCCCATCTTGGGGGCCCCGGATCTCCACAACTAGATCTGGCAGGTTGGGCCGCAGTCAGCACATGTCTTACTTCCATGATGGATTAATATCACTAGCACATGTGAAGCCACAGAAAGGATGTCAGGCAAGATGAAAGGGGGCACAAGATGGTTCAGTGTCATGCTTTCCATCATCGATGGTGTTGCAGGACACGGTCGCGCTCGCGTGCAGGGTGCGCTGCCTGTACAGAAGCAGGCAGGCCATAAAGGATGAACAGAGGACTGCATCAGTAACACAAGGAGAGGGCATCTCAAACACCTGAACAGTTATACAGTGGAGTATGTTTCTTGTGGGGTTCTTCCTGAAGTGTTGTGCAACTGATCGCGTGGATGGAGGTGGGGGATGAGAACAGTAGACGGTGGGAGAATCAGAGATCGATGGAGATCTGATATGTCCACCAACACAGCCAGCAGACATAAACATGCAGCTGAACGAAAACCTGAATATCAACAGCTTTGTGGATCACATACCTTTCTTGAGGACAAGAGCTCTGTGTTAAAACCGCCTGTCCACTAGTGTTGATGTGGGTGTGGATAGAACGAACAGAGACAGGAGAGATGAAGATGGTGTTGATGGAACGCGGAGGAAGAGAACAACAAGGATCCTCACATCACAACCCATCTATATATGGGATCATTTCGGCATCTAGATGTTCCTTTGCCTCTGGCTTCTCTATCTCATAACATTCACTGGGAGATTCTCAAAGAGATACACCGATGACGCCACAGGGACCCGTGATCCACCGAATGGATTGAAACAAGTAAAATATCATGCTGCTTTGAATAGTGAGAGAAGAAATTGAAACACTTTCAGCTTCTTTATGGTATCAAAGCTGGACTCTGTTGTCTCCTTCAGCGTGAACACCCATCCTCTGCTATATTAACGCTGACTATTATTGGGTACAACAAACAAGCAGAACTATTCAGTGCCTTGCAGCAAGCCACAGACTCCTTTCATCCTCTTACAACAGATTAATGATATCCTTGAACTCCTCCAACAGTGCAGGGTCAATGTCCTCCCAGCCTTTGGGCACAACAATCTGTTCGGCAGATACAAATCTTTGAAGCTCTTCCGGCGGATTATTCTTCTTGTTGCATTCCTCTTCCAGAGGCTTTCCATCTGACTTGACCCTTTTCATATTCTCGTCATCCCTTGGAGACAGCTTTCGTTTCTTTTCATGGTTTGCATTGAAAGGAGGCTCTTCCACACTGCAAGCTAGTGTCAGCCAGTGGTCATCTCTTAGATGTCTGCTACCTTACCTTTGTTTAGATTGATTGGATGAATCGTCAACACGATATTCAGATGACAAAGTGTGCTGAGCCTTAGTCTTCTCCGTGGAAGAAGGTATTTCAACCGGTGACTGAACAGCAAGCCACACATCATCATCCGACCAATTGTCATCCAGGTCTAATGTGTCTTCGTCCATCTCGACTTTCTTGCAAGGCCCACCATTATCGTTCTTCGCATTTGTCTGATCCCCAAGCAACAAAGCGGCAGGTGAAGGGAAATCGCTGAAGGTGTCATCGCTAGACTCTCTCAGGAGTTTGCCTTCGTTCAAGCCAGGCGACACATCTTCGTTGGGACCTCCGTTGGACCAAGGTTCCGCTGGCTCATTTGCTGAAGCATGATCTGAACCATTCTGCGACTTACGAATCATAGAAGTAGAAGACTCTTTGGTCAAGCTCAAACCACTACACAGCTCGGCGTCAGCTGTATTCCCATCCTTCCTGGCCATCGATGCTGCTAGGGTTGTTTGGTTGAACCCCTTCGACTTTTCGGCCCCAAGGCATGGCTGTTTCTTATTCGTCTTTGGGGGCTTGTCAAGCCCATCTCGACAACAGAAGTGCTTGCACCTACTCTAGTCAGTAACTTCTCTTGAGAAAAATACCATATCTCCTTACACAGTCTTATCCTTGCAACGGTGGTTACATGCCCACCTGCCGTTCTCCATTGGTGTTGGTTCTTCAACGTGGCTGGTCTTGGCCTTGCTGTCAAAGCCCTTGCTCTCCCCCGAGCCATTCTTCTGTGTTTTGCCTTCTGGGGGCGCTGGCAATGTGCTCAAGGACCAATTGTCGTCCTCTATTGTAAGATCATGTTAGTGGTCTTTCATGGATTATGCAGGACGCCGAACCTACCTTCCTGCAGCAACCCGTCGAACAACGACTCGTCACTATCCAGAGTGATAACACTCTGTGAAGTGGGTCGCTTGCTCTGAGAACCATCGTTGCTATTACAGCTTGAGGCATTGATAAGAGGCTTCGCAGCAGCAGCCTCGGGCCTTGTGTTCGGACGAGAAAAGAATAGTGTCGATGGAAGCTCGGGCTTCAGCACCGCGGATCTCAGTGTCCCAGCTAGCCAGCGTCAGCGATAGATAAGGAGTCTAAGGGGCACGCATGCCCTCACCTATGTCGTCACACGAAACACTACATGACACGAATTGGTCCCTGTCCTTTAATTCCGCATTGAGCAAAATCTCCTGGCCGTTCGACATCTTACTCGCACTTGGCACATCAGCTTGAATGACTGTCATAGCGGCAGTATCCCAAGCTTACCTGATGCGTCGAAACTCCAGGAGACGGCCGTCTGATACCTCAGCCAAGAAGCAAACATAGACGGGACGTTTCAGATAAAAGGAAGGGCACTTGTCGTTCATGAACGCGATCTCTGCCTTGAGGCGAAGTCTCACCGGCGCTGCCGGTTTGATTTCCTACTTGTCCTTAGTGACTGTTGGGGAGGGTCCATGCCTTGCAGGCTCAGCGTACCTTGCCGGTCATTTTGATGGCTACTCGGAGTCTAGGGAAGCTCGCAACCCGCTCCAGCAACTTCGCGCCAAAGGGAGGATTTTTGCTCAAGATCATGTCAATACGATGCGGCTCACACTGCCCCAGCGCGTCAATACTTGTGATATCAGCTGCGGCCAGTTTCCTGACCGCCACGATCCCAATCTGCTCAAGTTGCTTCAGTTGTAGCGGAGAGGTATCCCAGACCTTGGCCCCAAAACTCCTTGCCAGCTCCAGGGCGTTTCGCAAGGTCACCGCGTCCTCAAGGGAGATCTGACAGTCTATGATGCACCGAATCAATCTGTTTATGTGGCTGAAGACGAAACTCTTGTCCTGTTGGAAGACAAATCTGAATTTCTGGAACTGTTCGCCGTCCGGGAAGTCCACCGCACCAAGTTCGGACTGGATCAGAAGCGAAATTTTGTGGGCTGAAAGCGCTATGTCGACCTTGATGGGGAAGCGTATCCCATTGGAGCGGTTGATCTCCTTGTAGAGAGACTTCTCTCCGGCTTTGAGACGAATGTCCAGGAATTCGTCCGCTTGAGCGACGACGGATAGCTTTGATTGTTTAGTCTCAGCTCTAACATGCACATCCAACGCCCTTGACTTACTATCTGTGACACAGTAGACTGGGGCTTCAATGTGAGCAAATGCTTCATTGTTTCGAACCGCACGTAATAGCGAGCCATTGCTTCCCCGACACTGGTTGATTGGAGGCCATCAACTGTGACCAACCCATACTCTTGGAGAAGTGTAATGTCCTTCTCACAGATCTGTCGAAGCATCTTATCTTCCCCATCTCCATCTGCAGTCTCTTTCAGCTGGTAGTGTGCTGGATTTCTTCTGAGTCTCACGAACAGAAATGTGCCCCCCAGCCACCTGATGGCGGAATTAATGTCAGTCACATTACCTAACCCGATCTCTGCGTTAAGGTGATCAATCAGATTCAGATGCAGACAGCTCTCAAGGCTCTCAGATCCCGAGACAAGCTTCTCGTAGTGAGACTCGCGTTCCTTTCTGGTCATGATCACCGCTGTGGCACTATTGTCAAACTGTGGTCGACCCGCACGGCCGAGCATCTGCATGATCTCCATATCGGAATACTCCTGACAGCCACCCCCTTGCCAGCCCACGGTGCCTTTGATGACCACAAGATGGCACGGAAGATTGACGCCGACTGCAAGAGTGGACGTGCAGCATATAATGCTGATATGCCCTTGAAGAAACCCTGTTTCAACTGTGCGCCGGTCAACAGCATCAAGGCCTGCATGGTGAAAGGCGACACCGGCAGTCAATATCCCTGCTCAAATGTTCAGCATCATGGACTGTGATTTCATGTCTTCTGGGTCAGAACCTACCCTTCAAATCTTCATTCTGGGCCCCCAGAGGTCTGCTTGCTCCTTTCCATAGTCTGGCAGGAGGATTGGACATTGACCACAGTCGAGCAAGCTCTTTCGCCGTCGAGACGGCAGAGATTCTGGTGCAGCAGAAAACGATTATAGGCTTCTTACAAGAATGCGCCTTGATCAGATCAGGAAGTCTGCAATCATGACGTTAATGAAGACTCGCAAAATGCGACATAAGTCGACTTGGCTTACTTGGTGTTGCACATCTTGTCAAAGGCAAAGTCATTGCCCTGTGACCGATAGCCATAGACGACCTTTTGCAGCTTAATGGGACGGAAGCTCTCATCGAAGCGTTCCCTATGCGCGGGTAGGTGCTGATTTGTCGCGTCGCGACCAAGCCATGTCGCAACGTCCTCAGAGTTCGGCACTGTCGCACTCAGGGCAACGAATCGTACATTCGAACCATTGGTCTTCATACGGGAAACGACGGCCTCGAGTGTGGCTCCTCGGGCTTCTTTGAGAATGTGAACCTCGTCGATGAGGAACAGCTTGACCAGCTGCATCAACCGTGCATGATCTTTCCACTTCCGGGTCACGCTGTCCCACTTTTCGGGGGTGGTGATGATGATCTGGCTGTTTTGCACGCTCTTCAGCTGCGTGTGATCGGTGTCGCCGGTCAGCTCAGCACACTGCAGTCCCAAGGTAAGGAACTTTCCAATCCAGTCTCGGAATCTCTCCGAGCATAGAGACTTGGTGGGCGCTTGGTATATCACCTTGAACCTTTCGTCCTTGGATGTACTCATCAATCGGCATATCGCCAGCTCCATAATCACGGTCTTCCCGCTTCCTGTTGGGGCTGAAAGGACGATGTTGTGGTCACTCCTGTAAACGGATTGGAAACACTTGGATTGGATTGCGTTGAAGACCGGGAAAGGGAATATGGCGCGATATTTTTCGGGAAGCTCATGCACCGATACAAGGACAATGCCCCGAACAGACGCAGGGAAACGAGGGGAATTATTGATCTGCCCTAGCTGTGAATGTACCGAATGCCCAGAAGCAGTAATTGAGGACGACAGTCGTTCAGCACTAGGGCTAGCACGATACAGAGGTTCAAGTTCCGTTCGGGTGTCATTTGGGTATTCTGGGATCCGGTTCACGGCGCCCCGTTGGGCTTGCAGTCTGAGCAAGGGACTCGACGGGGATCTTATTCCTACCCCCGAGGAGCTGGATCCTGCATCTTGAGGTGACACCTGAAGCACGTCTGCCATACCATCAGATTGCCACTTCTGGATATCTCCGTACCAGTATACTGACCATGAGGATATCGAGCTGCTCGAGGATGAACAACCGACTCGAAGCGATTCGAAGCCGAGTAGTGATCACCGTGCGCATTCGGCTGGAGAACACCTTGTGTCTGTACATTTGACTGCGCTAGCAGCTCAAGATCTAATTGAATAATTATTGACGTTAGACCCACGAAGAATACGATTGAAAGTACTATGACGACTCACCAAATGCATCAAGCTCCTGGACATCGTCAAATGGAGGCGTGTGAAGATTCTCAGAAAGATAACTCTCGGGAGTCTGTTGAGCCTGACTGCTGAAATATGGTGAGACTCGAGCGCCCTCTTCTAACGTATGATTAGCATGGTGGTGATGGAACCGACTCGGGGTTCGCAGGAGTAGCTCTGCTCTGCGCTCGGACAAGGTCTGCTGCCTGGGTGAGGGCTTAAACTGATATCGATCACGCCGCATGTTGCCTAGATATACGATACCTCATACCAACAATTGCCACGAAGGGAAGAGATATCAATGAGGACGGACGAGGCTTACGGAAAGATATAGAGGATAGGTACTAGTCTCCCCAAAGGAGACTTGATAGGAGACATGTGACTGCCCACAGCCACCCCCAAATCAGCCACGATGATGTACATTGTCTTATACATCAGCCTTGTATGTCATGGATGATGAAAGATAAGCTACTATAGTTTTGCTTCATATGGTGCAGATGCACGGTGTATAAAAACAGGGGATTTGAGAATCCTATCCAGCTATAATCAACAAGGTAGAAGAACGACCATAGAGTACAAGAAATTGAGGCATTTTCCGTCGAGAACGTAACAGGCGTCACCGCTTCTATCCATCCATATTTACTTCCTGAAACCATGATACAGTGTAGCGCCAATTCAAAAGCCACTATCAAAACACTGGTAATCGCACCCTCGACTCATTGATCCCGAGGGTGCTTCTCAAAGTAACCTCCGCTTGGAGTGCGGCCAGCACTAACGCGTACATGGCCCGGTGATGTAGGTCTCGATGTGGAGAGGCCGGCATCGGACAAGAATGGTGTTCCAGGAAGCTTAATAGATATTTCGTTGGGTGATGGCGAGGCAGGCGAAGCCTCACCACTCTTATTATCCTTCTCATAGCGGTCAACTCGAATGGGGGGCGGACGCAGCGTCTGTCGTTGAGCCTTGACAGGGTTGGCGCTTGACTCCTCACAGAGGCAAGTAGTCACTAGTACTGCGAAAGACCCAAGGAGGAACTGCAAGCATCAACATTAGTTCTCATCTCAGTAAGCGAAGGGGATGATGGCGTACATTTGCAGTGAGTTCAAACTCAAAGAGCCAGGTGCTCGCTAGCGTTGTGAGGACGATGCTTGCAGCCGTAGCAATGTTCCTCGCATCTCTGTAGACATAGCCAATGCAGAAAGACGTGGCAATACCTCCCAGGGCTTGAATAATAACAGTAGACCAAACGACCCAGTTGTATCCATCGAAGAACCCATTGGCTGCCACTTTCTCACCGTCCAGAAATACGACGCCGATGAACAGTGCAGGGAAGATAGAGTAAACGGCCAGTTGAACGTTGCGCACCCAAAGAGATGTCGCCTTCGCGCTGTCTTGAATGACTTTTTCGAAATATACCCCCGCTAGACCAGAGGCAACGCAGGCGCCTACAGTAGCCAAGAGACCAATTGTTCCGTTCAAGCGAGGATTAGCAGTCAGAATATCCTCCTCGATTCCTTCGTAAGTTGCGGAACGCTTGTGTAGATTTTCACGTCCAAGCTTGGCAGCTTTCCACTCCTCTAATGACCGGGGGAAAGAAAGATGCGCAGCTTCATCGAAGTGAGCCTCGTCGACGCTGCCATTGGGGATTTGCACCAGTGCAACCCCAATCACAAGGAGTACCAGCAGACCCCATTTGCGGAGAGAGATCGACCTTCTAAAGACAAAAAGGCTGAATATGGCCGTTACCAGAAGCTTCAGCTGGTACGAGACTTGGAAAGTGGCAGCTTGCAAGTTCGAGAGTGCAATGTACTGCAAAGAATTGGCGATCGTATAGAGACAAGCGGGGATTGCGAGCTTCCAACTATCGCCGGAGAACACGGCGGAGGTGAGCGAAAAGAATAGCGACGTTGCGGGAACCGAAGGTGGTGCCGTCTTCGAAACCTCGTACAGGGCTATAGTCAAGGAGATGGCGAGTTTGGCGACCTCGTTGAAGAAAACAGCGGTGGACGTCAGATACCGTCTGCCGCCAGCTGGCGGCATGACCCTAGAATAATGTGATAACTACAAGGAGAAGTTTAGCTTTCCATTACAGCTGCAGAGCATTGAGTGACATGGTGAACTTACCAACACAAAGGCAGTATACTGTGCCGCCAACTAGACCAGAACACATAGTTAACGGGCGTGCCCAGCAAGGATGACGCTGAGCGCAAAGCACAGGCGCGCAGCAATCTTTTAACAAAGGGTAGATGAAGATCTTACTAGGACCCAAGAAGCATTCTTCATGGTTGTTCCCAGTCCTGCAGACCGGCGCGCTGCGGTCTCTCCCATAGTGATGTTAGTCAACTCGTCCTCGACAGCACTTGCGCTGTCTGTGGTTAAGCTTCGAGTAAGACACTAGCAGTCTTATAGGCTGCCCCGCAGCAATGTTCTCACGTCGCGTAGATTGAAGTAGTTGTAAGCGACTGCGGCGGAGATTTTCTTGAGCGAAATGTGCACGCGTCGGTCGGTTGTCGGAGGGGGAGGGGGTAGCGGGAGCTTGTGCGCGCTGGGCCGTGAGTCCGCCAGCAAACCGAGGCCTGATCGAGTGAGTGGCGAGAAGCAGGTAGAGGAAGGGTCACTAGTTCTAAAACGGGAGGGTAGGATATTAAGGTGTAAAGTTCAAGTAGAGTACCCTCCGTAGAACAAAGGACAAAGGAAGAAAGGCAAGGAAAGCAAGCCTGGAGTGGGTGAGTGAACAAGAGAATATGAGAGTCCGGGGTATTGTCGAGACGCTTGTTTGGGCGGTGTGGGTCACGGGAGGGGGGGAATTGAAAGCACTGAGCAGCAGCAACTGTGGCGGTCTAGTCCCTCAGTCTCGGTTCAGTCCACAGGTTACGTAGGGTGCGTACTGCGTACTCATAGCTTAGAGGTTCCCACTGACTGCTGCCCACTTCCCACTTTCCAGCCTTCAACTCAATTCTTTGAGTCAACCTTTCGCTAATCTCTCATCCACCCCCCCCTCCCCCCTCTCCTGAGGAATGGCAGCTGACGTCACACTAAGACATAGCAGTAACCATTTTAACGTCGATCCATGCTCATCATCAGCGCACACCCGCCCATGCTACTGCCATATGAACAACTACACATATCCATTCTAGCGTCGATTGACAGAGAATCCTTCCGAACAGACAAACCCTGCCTTCGGCACCTTGGCAAGCTACCACATCTCCAATCCAGGCACCGCCACTCGCCTTGTTGTGGTACTTTCCAACGTGCCTGGCTACCATTCGACAAGCCCGGTGGGTATATGCCGGCTTCAGGGGCTGCCTCCTTAGCCTTTCATCGCGGACTTTGAATGGGTGCAACAAGCGGGCGCGTCTCATACACAAACAAACCACGCTCGTGCAAATTCGCAGCCACAGTTCTTTCGTCTTCTACGCAATCAAACAGACCACGTTACGCATGCAGGAGAAAACCATGGTTCAATTTTGAAGTCATTTGATTTGGTGGTACCCCGTACCACCCGTTCTCTAATCTGTCAAAAGGAATATATACATGAGTAGGCAATAATGAGCCAGCGATCGGTGTTGTTAAAGGATAGTCATTTGGTATCATATCGCCAAGTTATATACAAAACGACAACAGTTTAGGTATCAATGAGAAAGCAACGAATGTTCAGGTGGGTAAATAGATAGTTATGAGATGCATCAAGCGAGTGAATGATGCAGTATGATCGAGCGTTGAATTGAAGTTGTTGGACCTCGGTTTCATAAACTTAGAAGACAGCTGAAGTGCTTCCAAGACATCGAGCTTTAGTGGACAGCCGTCACGTTACTGTTCTCGTTGTTCCACCTGATAGCCCAGATAGGAAAGTCGTCGCTCTGGGGCACCTCGTTCGACTCCTCCAGGATGATCGCTTCGCTACTATCCGTGCGTCTCCTTGAGTGTCGTCGCTGTGATTTGGGCACAGCCGGAGGTGGACGCATAGGCGGCGGCTTTTGCGTTGGAAGGGCCGAGAAACGCTGCAAAGGATGCGTGGGTGTTATGGGAGAAGCTCCGCTAGTGATGGGGGATGGAAGGCTCTCGGAGTATGCAAGACTGGTGCGAGGCGAGGGGAACGACCAAACAGTTTTCTGCTCTCCATCAGAAGAACTACTCTGAAACACCAGCCCCTCCCGATCACTTTGCTGCGTGGTTTGGCTCGATATAGCCGAAACTGCCGGGCTCAAGCGTAGGAACGACATGTCCGTGCCATAGAAGGAATCGCGTGAAGGCACGGAAAGCATAGATCCCTGATCGGGTTCCGGAACACGGACTTCGTTGAAGAGACTGGGCGTGATTTTGCCTTGTCGCTGTCTCATGGCTTCTAGAAGATCTTCCTCTTGCCGCGTCACCGCAATGACTCGACTTCGTCTGTTGGCCTCTTTCTGTGCAGTCATTGAGTTTCTAGTGCGCGGAGCAGTCTTTGACTGACTGAAGATAGGGTCTCCATGGAAGAACTCGGGCTCAGAAATGGTGGGGATACCACTTGATCGGCGAGACTGACTCTTCCTAGTGGCTGTTGATGATCTTCCCGCTGACGACATGGAGGGGTTTCGACGAAGAGATTGGTTCCTCTGACTGTATTGCGATCCACGACTTATGCCAGATATTGGCCGGTCGATGTCTCGCAGCGTGCCTCTAGTAGTATGCGCTGCAGAAGCTGTGCAGATTTCAGGCTCACACTCGCCGTAAGTTGCCACACTGTTTCTCGCACTTGCATCAGAATGGCCTCTGGG